GCAAACACACACACCCAGCCACACCCACACTCACACCCACACCCACACACCCCACACCCACACCCACACCCACACCCATTTATTCATTGATTTATCTCTTTATTTCTATATGTATGCAATTCTTATATTTATTGAGTTATTTCTCTATTTCCTTATTACCTTATTTCTATACTAATTCATTTCTGTATCTATTGATATATTGATCTATTTATTTATTTCTTTATTGAAATTTATTTATTTATCTTTTTTTTTTTTTTATTTACTTATTTGTCTACATACTCACTGACAAACTTATTGATGTATTTGTCTACTTACTCATTTATCGACTTATTGATTTGTTGAGTTATTTGCTCATTTATTTATTTATTGACTTTCGCTTTATTTATCTATTTACTTATTTATTGACTTCTTGCTTTATTTGTCTATTTACTTATTTATTATCTTATTAATTTATTTATGTATTCATGTATTGGTCTATTTATTTATTTACAGTCTTATAAATTTATTTAAGTATTGATTTATTTGTCTCATTTACGCTCTTCTTAATTAATTTCTATGCACTTATTTATGATCTTATTCATGATGAATTTATTCGTCCATCGAAGAAAGTCCATATACCCCAACCTTCCTATCAAATACTGACACAATTTATCTAAATATTGGTTTTCGTCAAAATTCAAGTCATCTACGTTTAAAACATAATTTACATCGCTGAATTGATCAAATATTAAATGTAACTGTACAAGTATCTGATGGTTTGCATAAAAAATCAAACATCAACACATATTTATATTTATATAAAAAATAAAAAAAAAACAATTATCCGGATACACAACAACCAATACTTTTATCTTAACCAGCATATGGTTTAACAATAAATGAATCATTATCAATAGGTCCAGTAACAACAAATATCTATCGAAGGTTTCAAATGCAATCATCAACTATTGATTTTATTGAAATAATTCATGACTTCAATTGATCAACAAGGTTCTCTTCGTCTGACGCAATCAATAATTGATTTATCGAAATATTCACATTGGTTATCAATATGTTTAACACGTTGTCGTGCACATCCACCACATACATTTATTCATATTCATATATCAATATGTAAAAGTCTATGATTATTCAATTCAATATTCATTCGCACATGTTCAAATAATAACATTAAATAAAAATTCATTTATTCAATATTCACCTATTTATAATATGAATTTACCTGAAATTGAACATAATAGTGGGAAATTACGACAACGTTTATTTCAAATAGACTTATTGACACAAATCAACATTTTATTATTAATCGACAAACAGGTTATATTGCAGCTAAACAACCATTAAATCCTGCAACAACATATGAATTTGATGTTGAAGCATTTACAGTTGCACATCGTAATGATATATTATCCGATGGAAATGAAAATGATGATTATAAACATTCAAATCGAGGGAATAATATCAATTAATAAAACATTATTAACAACAATTGATTCAACAATAAATATTGATTTATTAACAATAAATGAAGTTGGTTCACCTATTTTACAACTTGGTTTAAATAATCGTTTTAATAATACAAATGTTTATTATGATTGGTCATATTCGTCATACAAGACATTCTTACGTAGATTTTCAAAAAAAAAAAAGAAAAAGTCATTTAATTCTTATACGTCCGATTGAAGAATTAATTAATCAAACAAATATTATTGAACTTCATATTAATATAACAAATAAGTGGATCAATATGAATACATTAAAAGTTATTATTCATATCGGATGAATGTATATATTCAATAGATATAGTTGACAGAATAAAATTCAATGATTTATTTCGTATTAATCCTTGTACAGTTACAATAACTGTTATTAATTCATTAGAAAATAATTTGACATTAGAAAATTATTTAATTATATTTGAAACTTCATTAATTAAAAATCGTAAAATATTGAATAAAAAATTTTGAATTAATTAGTGATAATAATCAAGGAACAAAAATACA